AACTCGGATAGCTTATATTTTCATTTTAATTCAGTTGAAAATACTTTTTAATTTCCCTTGAACATTTCTTTTTGACCTAGAATTATTTTAGTGTATATTATTTCATTTCTGAATATTCAAAGATTTTCTAGGATAGTTTTGCTTTGATTCCTAATCTAATGCCTTTATGAACTTTTACTTTACATTATTTATAGTTTTTATAATTTGTTAAGATTTTGCTTACGGCCAGACAACAGTCTATGTTGATGTTTCACAGGTACTTGAGAAAAATGTGGTTTCTGCTGTATTCTGCCAATAAGGTCAAGTTTATTTTAAGTGTTAGGTCTTTAAAAAAAAAAAAAAGTTAGGTCTTTCATATCTTTTTTGATTTATTCTTAATTCTACCAATTCCTCAGACAGAGAGAGGTGTTGAAATCTCCAACTATAACTGTAGATTTGTCTATTTCTCATTCCAGTTCTGCTGGCTTTTGATGAATATATTTGGAATATTGACTATTTGAAGGGCATATATCTATTCTTAGATATGTAATGTTTGATATGTTACTAATTATATATTGACTGACAGATTAATTTCTATCAAGATGATTAGATACAATAAATTTTGGTAAATTATCAATTGTAGACTATGATTTTATGTATGTATATTATAATACCTAAACCAACTATTAAGAAAATTAGAAATACTCAAGGGTAGTATTATAAAGTCAAAATGGAATGCTAAAGAAACGTCAAAATAACTAATGAGAAAGTAAGAATAAAAACAGATGCATGAGAAGCGGAGGTAGTATTCATAAAACAGATAACAAATTGCCAGACTTAAGCTATAACATGTCAACATTTAAATGTAAATGATCTGAATACATTATTAGAAGCTGAGGTTGGCAGAATGGGGGAAAATTCAGCTAAATGTTATCACAAAACATCCTCTTCAAGTGCCATAGCATAGGTAAATTGAAAGTAAAAGGATGAAAAAAATCTGTAGCGTCTAGGGGAAGATAAGGAATTCTTAGACTTGGTACAATAAGCATGATTCATTATATGAAAAATTGATAAACTGGATGTCACTAAATTTAAAAACATTTGATCCATGAAATACTCTTTTAAAAGGATGGAGAGAGAAGCTAAAGACCAGAAGAAAATATTTGCAAAGTGTTTGTTAGATAAAAAATTAGTCCCAACCCAGGGATCGAACCCAGGTCATCCTCATTGCAGGCGGATTCTTTACCGTCTAAATCACCAGGGAAGTCCATTTACAGATACCAGAATACATAAAGAATTTTCGAATCGTAGCAGAAAAGAACAATGCCATTAGAAAATGGGCAAAAATCCTGAATAGACATTTCACCAAAGAGGACATACAGATGGCAAATAACATATGAGATGAGATTGAAGTCCTTAATCATTAGAGAAAGAAAATTAAAGCCATAAACATATTACTATACACCTATAAGAATGGCTAAAATAAAAACTACTGATGAGGATACAGAAAAGCAGTATCCCTAATACATTGTTGCTGGCAGTGTCAAATGGAATGGCCAGTCTGTAAAACAGTTCGGCAGCTTCTTACAAAACTTAATGTGCGATTGTTATATTGCTCAGAAATTTCATTCCTGGGAATATTTACTCTAAAAGAAAGAAAAATGTATGTTCACACAAAGCCCTATAAACAGATGTTCATAGAAGCATTATTAATGATAGTCAGAAAAGGGAATGATTCAGATGTCTTTCAAAGGTCCAGTGGTTAGATGATTAAATTGAACCATGGGACACTTCTCAAAAATAAAATGGAACAAGTGTTGATCCATGCACCAACACAGATGAATTTTCAGAGAATTATCTTGAATGAATGAAAATAAATAGCCAGTCCTCAAAGATTACATGCTCTATAATTCTATTTTTATAATATTCTTAAAAGGTTGACAATGCAGAAATGTAGAACAGAATAATGGTTGCCTGGGCCAAGGATAGGAGGAGGAGGAGTGTGAAGGATAAAGTTATAAAGGGATAAGATGGTCCAAGGTTAAGACTCTGTTTCCAATGCTGGGGCATGGGTTCAATTCCTGGTCAGGAAGCTAAGATCCCACATGCTGCACAATATGACCGAAAAACAAAGAAAAGAAAAAGATCCTTTTGATAATGGAAAATACTCTGTATCTTGACTGTACCAATATCAGTATATTGTGTTTGATACTTTACTACCCTTTTGCAAGATGTCACCATTGAAGAGAACCAAGCAACAGCGCAGGGATCTCTGCATCATTTCTTACAGCTGCACATGACTCAACAATTATCTCAAAATCAAAATTTAATTTTAAAAATTCAGAAGCATTTCAAGTAATAAGAACACAAAAAGTGCTATTCATTACCATGCAACTCTATACCACTATCTTCTAAAAAAATAAAAAGGAACTCATATTTAGTGGGGAAAAAAAAAATCCCAGGAGAACAACATCTTGTGCTCTGAGAAGATCCAGTGTTTTGCTTCCAGACCCAGCATGGGTTTATCTTTGGCTCTTGAAGCTGCTGAAGTGCATGTGCTAATGCATTTTACACTCCTTAGATCACAACATCGGAGTTATTTACCCTCTTCCCACCAAAGCAGTTGCTTAAGTGTTCTCAGTCTTTCTCCAGTGGGCATACTCATACATGGCCAGCTAGCTATGGAGGTCATTCTGTGTCCTGTTGATACTATGCAAGAAGACTACTCTGGGGCGATCATTGCCAGGAGGATCAGTTTGACTAATACAAACTTGCCACTTTGCACAACAGTGGACTTCCAGTGTGATGTTTGCTAAGGGATTATACCCCCTCTGCAGCAAGTTTACAAGTACACAGTGCATTATCTTTTTGCTCTCTTTGCACTCAGTGCATACTTGCCAAATCCTCCATAATTATCTCTACCTGCCCCATGATCTTAGTCTCAGGCCAAGTAGACTATGCTACTTAAACATATTTTCCTCTGGATGGGAACCTCTGGGTCTTCCCACCACTTGATGAGTTTTTTAGGGATGAGAGAACAGAAGGAATACTCTATGCTCCTTTATTTAAGGAAAACATCATCTTGTGTCCATAAAAATACGATGAACACCCTCTGATAATTCAGATAGATCACCCTACTTTTCTTACTTGATGCCATATCTTGCCTCATGAGGTTGGATAATGAAAGAATTTACCTAAACCTTCTTGGAGGAGATATGACAATATAATAAGCTTCCTATAGAAATTCATTTTTTTAAATTTCATATGAGGACTCTGATAGATCTTTCAGATTTATATTTTCTTATATCCAGAGAATCTAAAATTTTAGTGCCTCCTCTTTACAAGTGATGTGCATCTAAGATTAGCTTCTTTTTCTTTTTTCATCTTTTCTGAATATTTTCATTCTGTGCAGTGAATCACCAGATGTTGACAGTTGTTAGTGGCACTTTGATTTTGTTGAAAATGACAGGCAAAAATTCTACCACTGAAACACTAATGCCTGAGAATTTTGTTGCAAATGGTTCTCTTCCATATATAGGCCTTCATCACCTCCTGGTGATTCCAGTAAACAGGTCATTGCTGAAATGATGGACCTGCTTATCAGGCATTAAGTTTGCTTCCACTAAATCTTAGGTGAATGACTTTACAAAAATAAGCATATATATCCTTTTTTGGCATGATCCAAAGGGGTTATGAGGGTGTGCTTTACAACCCTTCCAGTGAATGTGGACTGGCTGGTATCCATGACTAGGGAAGGAGAAAATAGTATTTATGAAGCCGCTTATCACAAAAATTCACCTGGAATCTGAACAACATGCTAATTCTGTGGTCATCTAACCACTGCTGTCATGGGCACCATTATTTTAATTTGCAGTGAACCACTCCAATGCCCTATCCTGTTATATAAAAAAATAGCAGGTATTAAAAGGGAAATTGGAATTCACCAAACCCCTTCTCTTTCATGATATCGGTGGACCTGTGGTTTCTTTCATTGCTAGTAGATACTTTGCTAGGACTGCACCGCCAGGAGCAGTGGGGGCAATTCTGACATTTCCAGGGACCCACACTATCAAAACAGTATGGGTCTGTGTGTGTATACTGTGAACCGGTGCTGCAACTTCATTTCCTAGGTGGAACTGCCCATGATACACAATGGCTAGGTTACTATTAATATTGACAACTGGCCCTGCCTTGTACCTTGATTTTCATATGGACTCGAGTTCCACTTACCATGTTTTTGAGTCAAAAACTAACTTCAGAAGGATCAGAATCAACTAGAATGACAATCATCTGGCTTTCCTCCCCCAGAATGCCACAGAACCTCTTTCTTCAACCCTGACCCACTTTCATAAAATTCTGACTTGCTATTCTCTGGTGGCACTGAGACCCTGACCCAATCTTAGTGGCATTTATACCAGTAATTCTATCACATATCCTCTTTAATTCTTGTGTTTGGCTGGGACATTATAAGTTGATTTATGGAGATATTTGTGGCTTGCTTTCTGCTCCCCCTCTCTTTCTTTCTTTTTTTTTTTTTAAATTCCTTCAGTATTTTTCCACTCTCATTAGATTTTAAGTGCTTTTGTAATCCCCCACAGTTCTATGTATAGTCAACTCTTGATTATCTGAGCTAATGGAGGGGAGCATTAGCGTGGAAGATATCAGAGGACAAATAAATTTCCCAGGGGTTTGCATCAATTTTATGAAAGCATCTGAGTCCCAGAGGCAGGCAAACGAAAATCTAAGAGAAGCTGAGAGCAGAGAAGCATTCTGAATGAGAGAGTGAGTTGTCACATTCTCACAGGGCCGTGAACTCCTGCTGCAGCTGCTGGTGAAACTGTGTTTTACCCTGGCCAGACTGTCAAGAGAGGGGCTGCAAGGATCTTTGGGCATGAATCCTTCACTATAATCACTCTCCCTTTTGGCATCAGTGCTTGGTTTAACACAGTATCAGGACAGGACAATGGAAATGCAATAAATGGATGAAAGAAGAGTAATAGGGTGTTATTGGCAGAGAATAGCACAATATAGGCTTTACAAGGCAGGGAAGGGAAGCGTCTTACCTTAAGGGAAGTGTACATTAATTGGATAAAGGTTTTCCCTTCTCTTGGTCTCCAGCTTTCACGTCACACCTTAAACAGAGCAGATACTTTATCAAAGTTGGAAGGAGGTGAACAAACAAGCAGGCAGAAAGAGAGAGAAAAAAAAAAAGATTCATAAGTGACAGAAATTTCCTGAGGAGTCTGGAAGCTCTAATTCGCAAAATGACTCTCTGTGTAATTAAATATTCTGATGGCATACCATGGCTATTTTAGGAGTAATTATCGGAAGGCTCTCTGGGTATCTGGTTAGAAATGCTTTTCATTTTTTTTTATCATGGAAGAACAAACCTATTCAAAAGTAGGTCTATTTGGTCACATGGCAGGGGACCAAGGGAATTCACATTCTTTGAGCAGTTACTATATCCCAGGTCGACATTTTCCTTATCTCATCTTGTTTTATTACCTACAGCAATCCTGTGAAATTATTATTATGCCCATTTGACATGTGAGGCAACAGTGTCATAGTTGTTAAGAATTTATCCCAAAGTTACTCAGCTAATACATATCAAACTGGACTTCAAATCAGTTTCTTTCTTTTGAAATCCCCTACTCTTTGTTCTACACTGTGCAGTTTCTTAGTCATAATAGTAACTACAATTTATTGAATGCCTGCTGTGTGAAAGCCACTATATTTACATAATTTTTAATCTTGCCATTAACCTAGATAGGTGGGTTTTAATATCTTCCTTTCAGAGATGAAGACAGAGAATTCAATTTAGCCCAGCTCACTGGTAGGGTTAAGATTTGGACTGCATCTGCTTTTGAGCATTTTTTTTTCCCCCTAAATATCATATTTTGTTAATTTAGGCTACATACACTTCACTGTAATCAGTCCTAAAGTTTTGCCAGAGACAGTTCCCTGCAATGTCATCGTTTCATTATTCTTAAGTAGCAGTATATTTCAACTCCAGAATGACAGCCAGCGTGTCCGTGAACACCTCCATGGACACCCACACACAGGTACATACTCCCTTCCCATCACAGGACGAAATTCATTTTCAGAGGATGCCCATAAACCACGTTTATAAGGAAAGTGCAAGGCATCACCAGCACTAAGAAATCATTACTTTTTACCAGATAGTTCTATCCAGAAAGCTGTCCTAAAAATTTGCTCGTCATTCTTACCTCAATGTGACAACCAGGCTCAGCCTCAAGGTGAAACAGAGTAATCTTTGCTATTAATGCCTGCAAACATAACGAGGCACTTTGATCCATCGATCTTTGAATTTGTAGGAGAGAAGCAGATGATGTGAGGGGACTGAAAGTCTATTTTGTATTTATTTTGGGACACTGCTGTGTTTCCTTCTCATGGGCGTCTTCAACTGCTGAGAAAGGGTATATGGGATTGCCTCCTGGGACCGCTAGCCACATGGCAAGACAGCCTCTCCACAGAAATGAATGAGGCCACTTCTTCCAGGAAGAAAGTGACCCCAAGACTTCGGGTCATATGGAGAGGAGACACATGAGACGGCATGTCTCCTTGCTCATGATAAACTGCTGGTTTGGAATCTCAGCCAGCATCCTCCAACTTCTCTTCCTCATTGTTTATGAGACAAGAATGCCCCAACCATGACTTAGCATGTCCAGTGATTGGAGAGTAAGTTGGATGGACATTTTCTAACAGCAGGGGGAGGAGGCCTTCCAATGGACCCCCTTCCCTTCCCAGACTCTCTTGTCGTAATCAATCATCCATTGATTTCTCCCCCAGGGTCTAAGTTGTGAGCCACAGAGCCAGGCAAGGTGGTATCTTTCTACTACTCCTGAGGAAATGAGATACAGCCCATGGGATACATATCCTGGAGGGCCCAGGGTTTCCTAGAAGAGACACCTGGGAAAATCTCCAGCAGAAGCCCAGATCCTGCATGATGGTCCCTCCACAGTGGTCTGTTCCTTCCAGAAAAGAAGAGATAAAAAAGGAAGACTAGACTACGGAGTGACTACTGCTTAGATCAGTGTAATTATTCCATGATTTGACAACTGCTTCACCCTCACCTGCAGTGCAGTATTAGCGCTGCAGTGTGTTGAGAACGTATGGATTTCATATTTTAGTCCTGATTATACCTGCCAGTGGCCTTCTAGGTTTCCAGGATTGAATCCTCTTGACTGTCTCTGAATATAGAGGCTGGTTCTCTGACCTTCTTTCAAGGTCACCGGGTTTTCTTTGTACTTTTATATCCTTTCAAAATTTTCTGCTTTCTTTTGGATTTTACTCCTTTTCAATTTATTTATGTGTGACAGCCTCAATCATCCAGTTATCAATTCAGTAAAATCTGTCTTGCAGAATGTCCATTTTATCATTCAAGCCTGAAATCTGTTCTGCAATCCTTTTATTTCCCTCCTGAATTGCTTTCAAAGCCCTCTGGGGAGCTGGCCTGCAAAAATAGAGAATTCTCACATTGTTTCCATGAAAGGTGCTATATAACCACACAGCAGGATTATTGTTCCCTTTTCTCTTTCATTTTGGTCGCCCTGACTGATCTGCTCTGCATTGCAAGCTCAGTGGCCTTTTTTCATCTTAATTTTATTCACTGCTGTGGTTACTTTCTTTTGGGGACATCAGATAGGTGTTAAGTAAAAGACAGGCGTCGGTGTCACAGGGAAAGTCCAGGCACCTCCCTCCCTGGTCACTGATTTCTAACACTTTGTCTGACCATTCAGCTCAGCAAAGCTGCCGCTGCCATGAACGCTTCTCTGATGGGGCTCAATTTCCCTGGGAATTTTTGCTTTGTGCAGAGAACTAGCCTAACCCAATCAAGGCAAGCTGCAAAATTAAATTAATTTAACTCATTCATCTAGGTGTTTAATGTAATATTTTGACAGATCTGCATAAACGGAACTTCCTCAATTTGGCAGAAGGGAATAAAATTGATGGATTCAAATTCATATCTGTTGGTGCAAAGCAGAGATTTGTAATCCATCAGTTGTTCTCCCTGATGCACAATCTCCGCCGCCTTCACGTTGGCTCTAAGTGCAAACACCTCTTTCAATAATAGCCACTGCCTAACAAAAATTAGCAAAAAGCCAGTTTTAAGCGGAGATTTGACATGAAATCAATATGTTTTAAAGCAAACTGATGCTAGGAATAAAGAGGAGATTAAAAATTGTGCTATTTTTAACCAAAGAGGGGGAATTCAATATGGTTTATAGAAAAGCATTAACTATTAAGACAAAGCAATAAAAAAGCCCAATGAAGAAAGTCCTTGTAGAGGTGGGGTGGTCTGGACAGATGCATTCAGATGCTGACTCTGGGTATAAAATTCTGTGTCTGGGAGAACGTGTACATTTCTCTCTCTCGCTTTTCTTTTTCCCCCTAGATTGTTTCCTAGGGTAATTAACTGAAATCAACGGTGACCAGAATGTTGAAACACAAAATAATTAAAAAAAAAATAAAGAAATGATGAGCAGTGAAAGGCCTCCCAAATGCTTCTCAGGTGGGGGGAGGGACCAGTAAACATGGTGTTTATTCATCAAGATATACGATGATGGTTAGAATACATATATGCTGCTAGATCCATAAAAAATAAAAATCCACCATAGTGTAAAAGGATATAAAAAGTGGCAAGCCATTTAATTCTAAGTTTTCACAGTGTGTATGCTGATCACACTGAGTAGGGGAATAAGGCTTCTTATTTGGAGGATTCTGGTTGAGGACTATTTCTTCAACTGGAAAAGTATGCCTTCAGATGAATATACATATTTGAGTAGCATTTTGGTTAGCCACATATGAAAACACACTGTAAAGATTTCTATCTCTGTTAGAAGCCTAAACATCCTAGGCATTTTGACCTACAAAATAATTAACAGGGGTCTAGTCAGTGATCCAAGCAAGAAATGCTATTCTATACAAGTTTTTTTTTTTAATTTAAAATTTTAGGAAATGGGTAATGAAAGAAATAGCTCAGAATTATAGAATTGTATGCTTCTAAGTCTCTATATTTCAGTGAAGCTAAAATTCTTTGGTATTCATGCTTTCTTGATCTTCCCAGAAGGTATCAAGGGAAGATCTTTATTTTGTTCATGTCACTCACAACCACACTTGACAGGGATGTAAAATGCCATTGATTGTAAGATGCATCTTGATTTCAGAGAGGTTAAAATGTGTTTGTGTGTGGGTAAGTACATTTTAGAATTGATAAAATAGAGCTCCTGGAGATTAAAGTCAGTTAAGCCATTTTATACAGAATGAACTTAAGGTCCAGAGTGACTGAAGGTCACACAATTGCTTCATAATGAAGCATAGCCATATCCCCTGCCATCTGCTCAGCTTTTCTTACCGTGCTCTGCACCTTGCCCTCTGGCATCTTCCCCACTTACACTACACTTACTCAAAAGTTAGTAAACTTTTCAAGTACAAATAAGCAGCCCAATAAGTTATTAATAAATACATTCACCTGTGGGTATGTATGTATAGACATAGACCCATACTCTGTTCAGTCATTCATCCATTCACTCCTTCCTTTGCTTAAAGAATTTTCCCATGTCACCATTAGAATTGTTGTCTTGAAGGAGCTTATCATTCATTGATGTTAACAATTTTCTATTTTTAAATTTTCCCATTCTGTTGTATTCCACCACCACATTCATTTATTGCATTTATTACATTTATTGCATTTATACATTTATTACATCCACCTATTACATTTGTTACTCAGGATTTACCAGCATCTGCCCTGTGTCAACGACTATACCATACACCAGGGACACAGCATGAGTCTGTGCTTCAAGTATAATTAGTTGAATGATTATGTATTTACCATCATGGTGAGTGCTATGAAGGAAAGTGAGTTCTATGAGCATGTATAATAGGGAGGGTGGTCTAATTTAGATCTCTCTGGGGAGGAGTTATTTAATCTGACATCTGAAGGGTGAAGCTGGATGGAGAGAGGGGAGGCACGTTTTCCAGGCAAAATGAATTGCAAGTATAATTGCCTGGAGATGGGAAGACTCGTGTTTGCTATTTGCTGGTGTGGATATGGCTCAGAGGAATCTCCGCCCACAACAGGGTTTTTGACCACAAGACTCCAACAATGAAAAGAGATGAGAAAGAAGACAAGGTATTGATTTTAAAGACGTCTGGCCAAAACAACTAACTGGAATGCTGAGAAAAAAAAAATATTACTTCTGTGAACAGAGAAACAAGGATATGAATTGACTTGACATATTTTGGGTTGTGCTCTTTCTTTCTTGTGAACCTCCTACCTTTTCCTCAGTGGTTTTGAACATGTAACTCTTCACTTAAAAGAGTTAACAGCAATGAGATCAAGAAAAATAGAGAAATAGTAAAACATTCAAGAACATTGAGATCAAGTTGGGGGAACTAGCTTTAAAATCTTCAAGGACAATTGACAAAGAAGTAGAGAAAGCAGTAAAATCTGCCTGAGACTAATAAAGCTATGAAAACTAGTAGCTTCAGTTTTGCCACAGGGTTTCCCTCAAATGCAATTGGCCCAACCGAACCTGGAATAACTGAAGGAAAAAAAACCCGGCCAAGAAAACGGGGAAAAAAAGGGCCCCCCCAAAACGGTGGGGGGAAAGGAAAACGGGAAAACCAACGCCGAAAAAAAGAAGGGGGTTCCCTAAAAAAACAAAAAAAAAACCAACCGAAGCCCCGCAAGCCCAACCCCGAAAAAGGAACCGGAAAAAAACAAGAACCGAAAGGAAAAAAAAAACTCCAACGTCAATGCAAAAAAAGTTAAAAAAAGCAAAAAAAGGAAACAACCCAAAAAACCAACCAAAAAAAACGGAAAAAAGTGTGGTACATATATACAATGGAATATTACTCAGCCATTGAAAAAAATGAACTAATGCCACTTGCAGCAATGTGGATGGACCTAGAAATTGTCATACTGAGTGAAGTAAGACAGAGAAGGCAGCGTATCATACGACATCCCTTATTTGTGGAATTTAAAAAGAAATGATACAAATGAATTTATGTACGGAACAAAAAGAGACTCACAGATTAGGGGGTTTGGGAGGGGCATGTACAGACTGCTATGTTTAAAATGGATACCCAACAAGGACCTACCATATAGCACATGGAACTCTGATCAACGTTGCGTTGTGGCCTGGATGGAAGGGGAGCTGGGAGGAGAATGGATACATGTGTATGTATGGCTGGGTCCCTTCACTGTTCACCTGAAATGGTCACCACATTGTCTGTTATTCAGCTGTTCTTCAATGTAAACTAAAAAGCTTGAAAAAATAAAATAAAGCCATCATGTCTAAACACTTATGGAGCACTAAAAATAAGTTGGGTTTGGACTGTCCAAAATTGGAGCCACTAATCACATGAAACTATTGAGACTTATTATCTGAGTTTAGATGTGTATAAAAAGGTAAAATTTACACCAGATTTCAAAAGCAGTTAAAAAAAAGGGGATGTAAAATAAAATATCTTAATCCTTGTTAAAATTGATTTCATATTGAAATAATATTTTGGACATATTGGGCAAAATAATAGATATTATTAAAATCAATTTCCCCTACTTCTTTTTACCTTTTTTCATGTGCTTACAAGAAAATTTAAATGACTTGTGTGTCTTGCATACTATTTTTACTGGGTAGTGCTGATCTACTTACTGGTTGATGAGGTGTCCATAGTACAAAGCCCCTGGTCTTCAGATGCAGACTTTCCTCTAGTGAAGACACACAGTAGCCTAAAACCAAAGAAATAATAAGTGCTATCAAAAAATGATAAAGCACCTTCAGAGTGTGGAGGGGTTTGTGTGACATTTTGAATAGTTGATTCAGGGTACGTCTCTCTGATTCGAGCAGAGACATAAACACCCAGAGGGAGAGAGTCCACCAGATTTGAGAAAAGAACACTTCAAGTTGAGAGGAAGACCAAAAAAATGAAGAAACACCAAAATGGGAGGATGTTCAGTGTAGCTTGAATGCAGTGAGGACGAAAGGAGGTTAAGAGCTAAGTTTGGAAAAGTAACAGTAGCCAGATTACAAAAACCTTTGCAGGACTTCCCTGTTGGTCCTGTGGTTAAAACTGTGCTCCCAGTGCAGGGGGCACAGGTTTGATCCCTGGTCAGGGAACTAAGATCCTGAATATTGTAAGACTTGGCCAAAAAGTAAAAATTAAAAAAAAAAAAAGCAAAAACAAGTAGAAGAAGAAGAGCAACAGAATCTTTTGTAGTCCAGGGATAGGATTTGGGGACCTTAAACTGAATGAAATGATGTAGGATGTGGTCAGATGTTCAGTCATGTCTGGCTCTTTGTGATCCCCTGGAACGTAGCCCATCAGGTTCCTCTGTCCATGAAATTTTCCAGGTAAGAGTACTGAAGTGAGTCGCCATTTTCTGCTGCAGGGATTCTGCCTGACCTAAGGACTGTACTCGCATCTCTTATGTCCCTTGCATTGGCAGGCAGATTCTTTACCATTGAACCATGTGGGAAGCCTGAAATGGAGTAATAGATTGAATGCAAAACTGTAGTAATCATTCCTTTCCATATATCCACATGTCTATGTAGTGTTACTTTGTAACTCTTCATCATAATGAATCTAAATGGAATTTTTACTTTAATGAATAGAATACAGCAAAGTTACATTGTATGATTCCTGATTTCATTACTTAGGTGATAGAAATGCTGGACGAAGCACAAGCTGGAGTCAAGATTGACAGGAGAAATATAAATAACCTCAGATATGCAGATGACACCACCCTTACGGCAGAAAGTGAAGAAGAACTAAAGAGCCTCTTGATGAAAGTGAAAGAGCAGAATAAAAATGTTGACTTAAAACTCAACATTCAGAAAACTAAGATCATGGTATCTGGTCCCAACGCCACGGAAAATAGACAGGGAAACAATGGAAACAGGGGCAGACTTTATTTTTTGGGCTCCAAAATCACTGCAAATGGTGACTGCAGCCATGAAATTAAAAGACGCTTGCTCCTTGGAAGATAAGTTATGACCAAGTTAGAGAGGATATTAAAAAGCAAAGATATGACTTTGCCAACAAAGGTCCATCTAGTCAAAGCTATAGTTTTTCCAGTAGTCATGTATGGATATGAGAGCTGGACTACAAAGAAAGCTGAGACCCAAAGAATTGATGCTTTTGAACTGTGGTGTTGGAGAAGACTCTTGAGAGTCCCTTGGACAGCAAAGAGATCCAACCAGTCCATCCTAAAGGAGATCAGTCCTGAAAATTCGTTGGAAGGACTGATGGTGAAGCTGAAACTCTAATACTTTGGCCACCTGATGGAAAGAACTGACTCATTTGAAAAGACCCTGATGCTTGGCGAGATTGAAGGTGGGAGGAGAAGGAGACCTCAGAGGTTGAGATGGTTGGATGGCATCACTGATTTAATGGACATGAGTTTGAGTAAACTCCAGGAATTGGTGAAGGACAGGGAAGCCTAGTGCGCTGCAGCCCATGGGTTTGCAGAGTCAGACACACTGTGTGACAGAACTGAACTGAACCGAGTAGGCCTAACATGGTTCTGCTGTCCTGGAACCTTGCCAGCTGCCATCTCAAGCCCAGACTAACTTGCCTAAAGGATGAGAAATCATGTGGAGAAGGAGTCTGTCTACTCATTCTTCCCAAAGCTCCAGAGATGTTGGAGCCTGGTTGAGATGAGCTGAACTATGCACAGGTCAGAACTCACTTCAGTTGGCTGCAGATTTTTAAAGTTGCAATAAATGGCTGTTATTTTAAGCCACTAAGTTTTAAAGTGCTCTCTAATGTAAGTAAACAGCACTAATGGAGATGCAGAGTTTTTAGTACTATGAAATGAACTATATGTTTAGAGGTGATAAAAAGTGACTCAGTTTGAATATACATTTGAGATTAGAGCCAAAAGCATTTTCTAATGGAATGAATGTGAGGTGCAAAAGAAATAGAGAAGACAGGAATGCCTCTAATGTCTTGGCCATAGCAACTAAAAGAATGGTGCTGTCATTGCTCAGACGGGAGAACTGCGAGGAATAGCTCTTTAGGGAAGGAGAGTTATGAGCCCAGTTTTACACATATTAAACTAGAGATGTTTGCTAGCCCCCCAAGCTGAGATGTTAAATAGGCAATTGGTTAAAGAGTTTAGGAGGGGAAGCTGGGCAGGAGTCTTAAATGTCGGAATAGTCGTACCATTATTTAAGTGGCATTTAAAGTCATAGGAGTCGATGAGATTGCTTACAGGGACTGAAGGGGAGCAAACCAAAGATTGAGCGCTGGTTGCCTACTGCTTGGAGTTTGGGAAGATGAAGGACATCTTGCATAGGAAATTGACAATGTGGGTTCAGTTAGAGATTCAGAGACAGCAAGGAGAAGCAAAGTGAGCCCAGTATCAGGAGAGACTAATCAACTGTATCAATAGCTGCTTAGGGGTCAAGAAAGCTGACAAATGAGAAGTGAGCATTGCATTGAGCAATCTGAGAGATATTCATTGAGTTTGATAAGCCCACCTCCAGTGGAATGGTGAAAAAAAAAAAAGCCTAGTTGAAGTGATCTCAGGAGGAAAAAGAAGGAATCATGGAGGATGACAGGATAGGGTGTATAAAAGTAGACCCAGAATGGCTGTCATGGAATTAACTAATTTCAAAGGTTATCGACTAAGTTATGCCTTATAGCTAATAAGTCACACCAAAGGCAATATATTTTGCACTATATTTAACTGGGATAATGAAGTTGTTTTTAAATATATTCCTTTAAAATATTTATTTATTTTCTTTTATTTTTGGCCTTGCTCCATCTTCATTGCTGTATGGGCCTTTATCTAGCTTTAGCAAATGCGGGGTACTCTTTAGCTGCGGTGCATGGGCTTTTCACTGAAGTGGCTTCTCTGGTTGCAGAGCAGAGACTCTGCGGTGTGCAGCCTTCAGCAGTTGCAGTTCCCAGCTTCTAGAGCACAGGCTCAATAGTTGGGGTGCACAGGTTTAGTTGTCCTGTGGCATGTGGGATCTTCCCAGTCAGGGATTGAACCCACATCTTCTGCATTGGCAGGTGGCTTCTTTATCACCTGTCATCAGGGAAGCCCTTAAATATACTCTAGAAAGAGAAAATACATCTTAAGTGACATATTTAAAAAGCAAAATAAATAAATACAGGAAAAAAGAAGCTTGGTAAGAAAGAAAAAGAAAGACAGAAGGAAAGAAAATCTGCTATAAATTGGAACAGAGAAATGAGACCCAAACTAGAAGGGAGGTGGGATTAAGAGACTTTTATTTTGTTTATTTAGAAAATGATACGAATTTTTACAGTTGGTTAAAATGCTGATAAAAATGATCTAGAGGTAAAAAATTGATGGTAAACAAATGGGAAGAGAATATAGGGGACACAGCTCTTGACTAGAGAGATTAGATGGAGGCCAGAGAGCTGCCAATTCTCAGGGATGCAGGAGGCAAGAGGCGGAGAGGGAGCTCACCTCTAAGAAGGTGGGAGACACTGCTGGAGGAATATGGAATTTCTCTTCTGATCTCTTCTCTTGCTCCAGTGAAACCAGAAGTTTGAAGACTAGGGGCAGAATTAGATATTGGAAGAAAAGAAGGTAAATGGTCTAGAAGAATAAAAGTGAGCAGATTAGGAAAATTTAGTTGAACTACCAAAGAGCTTGAGGTTCTTCCTTAAGATTCACAAGCAAACATCAAAGCTGAAACCATTCTGCTGGGTTGTATGGAGAGCTGGCTTTACCCAGGATTGTGACTTAACAAAGGAGTGTCGCAACAGAATTGAGAGTATTTAGTGGGTCACAGAATGTAACGTGATTAGACCCAGAAGCAGAAAGGACATGAGAGATATGATAAAAGGAGTAAAGATGATAGAGCTACAAGATTTGAGATCCTGAATTGATGATTCTTTTTTTCCAAAATTAGAATATCAGAGGAGTAACCTGGACACACACGAGGTAGTATTTGGAGAGTATTGTGCTTGAAACCAAGATGCCTCTAGAAAGTGATATTTTTGATAAACAAGGTCTAGGGCGTTGGTTTTCAATAGGAATAATACTATACCCTAAAGATTTTTTTGAAAATTTGTGGGCAATTCTTATTGCCACAATGATTGGAGGTGTGGCAGGAATTTAGAGGCAGCACCAAAAAGCTACCTAGAGGATTCCATGAACAGAGGAACCTGGTGGGGTCCATGGGTCACAAAGAGTCAGACACAACTGAGAGACTAATACTTTCACTAGAAAGCTAGATGCTTCATTGCTAAGAACAATCCATTACATCTACATTCATTGGCTAGTGGCTGTTGCATTCACAGTAATTCTAACTCTTTTACTATATTCATTTAACTCATTTAAAGGTACTAAATATCAGTTTGAAATTAGATATTAATGAACCTATGTACACTGTTTACACATCATTATTTTCCAATGAAGCAATCAGCCTGTTAAAATAAAAACAGAATTTTTTAAAATGTTGACAGAGTTAGCAGGCATACATCATATTTCCAAGATTTAAAGAAAAAGTTTGAAAAAATTAACATTGTCTCTGGAATGATTTTAAAATCCTTTTAATAAAAGTATAATTTTCTGCTTGCTTCATACATGTGAATACATGATTACAGATGGTACGCTCACAGTAGTGAGGAAAAAATAATTTTACTAGCTATGCAAAATGTTTTTGGTATGCTGGCCAAAGAAATCCAAGTGAAATAATTTTTCTCTTCCACTGAGTAAGGTGGAATAGTTTGACGAATAATTGATGAGATGGTGAAATATGTCAAAAATTAGCTGTGAGTAGAACAGTAGTCAAAATGAATTTTTATTACAAGTGGGTGAAACAAGTCCTTTGGATAATGAGGCTTTACTGCCTGCATTTAAAAGGTTCATGTGGAATGAAAAACTCATAGTGGAAACATTATTTTAAAAATTACTGATAATAAATACGAAGGCCTTGTCCATATTTGAAATCTCTAAAAATCATTTTACAAAAAAGATAATTCTGGTTTTGGGGTCATTGTCTGTGCTACAGATGGTGCTGCCAGCTATGGGTTGTTGGCAATATCGGTTTATGACTAACCTAAAAAATTGCACCAGGTGTTTTAGCAATTCACTGCATTATTCATGAACCACATGTAGTCCCAGAGAATTTTTATGAAAGACTCTACAAATCAATAAATGTTTTTAACAAAATTAATAACACAATTAATAATAAATCATTGAGTTATTGATTACTCCACACAGAATGTACTCTAAGATGTTTGAACATCTTATCCAAGACACAAAAGTAAGATAGTTCTCGAGGAGTAGACTTGAAAACAGATCCTGTTTACTGTTAAATTCTGTTTCAGTTTTAAAACTCAACCACCATAAAAATAAAGTTTGTGATTGATATGTTGAATGGATATGTGAATGGACAGGACATATTTTTAACATATACTTGGTCACCATAAGTTGTACCAGAACTAGATCAATTTCTGTAAAATGAATAATCAGGGGATTCATCATGTAGCATTGAAACATATATATTACCATGTGTAAAACAGAGAGCCAGTGGGAATTAGGGGGAACCCAAATCCTGCGCTCTGTGACTGCCTTTGAGGGATGGGATGGAGTGGGAGGTGGGAGGGAGGTTCACGAGTGAAGAAACCTGTGTGTACCTCTGGCTGATTCATGCTGATGGATGGCAGAGACCAACACAATATTTTTAAAAAATTATCCTCCAATTAAAAATAAAACAGAATTAAAAAAACCTGACTCTGCTACTGAGAATTTTCAAAGTGTGTGTTTTCAACAATTTAGAGATATTAATCGGGAATAGATTACTCTCATTTTTGCTAATAAATAAGATATGATGTTTAGATTTAAAAATCTGAATGAATTATATAATGCCAAATTGGGTGTTTAATCCATTTGAAATGATTGTGGAACATGTTAGCCAAGATACAGAAAAACAGTTAATTGGGCTAAAACAATTTTTAGACCAAAGCACAATTTAATTAGTCTAATATGAAAGGATTTGGATCCATTTAAGACTTTCATATCCACATCTTTAAAAATAAGTTAAATTACTGTTAGTTTTTTCTTCTACTTAACTACATACAAATTTGAAGAGATTCCAGCTTAGTAGCACAGTTTCAGCAAAAGCAGAACTATTTGGAAAAATGTAAGAGGTGTAGTAAAATTCTTTTTAAAACATACAACTGACTACTATGAAATTAATTGGATCACACTACTGAAAGTTATTTTAAGACCACTTATAAAAAAAAAAGACCACTTATGTTTAAAAATGTTCTTAGCACACTTTAAAGAAATCTATGACACTAAAAGTATATATTGAATTTATTTAGATTACTTATGTTTTTCAGTCTTATTCTGAAATTGTCCCTAGAGAAAATCTGCATAATTTCTGTATAGCCTCTTTCATTACTTGTTTAGATTTCTTGTCCATCTTCAATTACCCTTTTGCCTTGGGAAGGATACTATCTCAGAGAATTCTTGAGTGACACAGACTAAATGCATTTTTGGTAATGTGGTTGGCTCTAAGATAAGAAGCATGTTTCCAGAGGCACTTCATTGCCCCCTGTCTCATTCCATAACATGGTGAAATGTTTTGAAAGTACATTTGCAAATAGTTTATTCACAAGAATATCACATTCTCACTTTTGGTTAACATTGATAGGCTGTAATTGATGTTGGCACATTTCTATACTTAAATTTATTTTTTTCCCCCATTTCCCACATTTCCCTGTGATCTTATACAGATGAGACTGATCTTTTACTACCTTAGAGTCCATCTATACCTTTGCTTTTCCATTTTCGCTGAACTTCTCATGTGAGATGACTTCTCATATTGTTCTCCTTGATCCTAACTTCAGTTCAGTTCAGTTGCTCAGTCGTGTCTTAACTCTCTGCAACTCCGTGGACGGCAGCATGCCAGGTGTACCTGTCCATCAACAACTTCCGGAGTTTACTCAAACTCATGTCCATTGAGTCAGTGATGCCATCCAACCATCTCATCCTCTGTCATCCCCTTCTCCTCCCACCTTCAATCTTGTCCAGCATCACAGTCTTTTCAAATGAATCAGTTCTTCCCATCAGGTGGCCGAAGTATTGGAGTTTCAGCTTCAGCATCAGTCCTTTCAACAAATTTTCAGGACTGACTTCCTTTAGAATGGACTGGTTGGATCTCCTTGCAGTCCATGGGACTCTCAAGAGTCTTCTCCAACACCACAGTTCAAAAGCATCAATTCTTTGTGCTCAGCTTTCTTTATAGCCCAACTCTCACATCCATACATGACCACTGGAAAAACCATAGCCTTGACTAGATGGACCTTTCTTGGCAAAGGAATGTCTCTGCTTTTTAATAAGCTGTTTAGTTTTGTCATAATTTTACTCATTAAGTTGATCATAACTTACTCATTATAATTAAGCAGAGTGTATACATAGGAATATCAGGTAGTTATGAAAGCATACTCACATCTATTTCATTCTTCTAAATTTATTTACATTTGTTTTAAAATTAGAGTTGAAGATAGAGTGTATTACTTGGGAGGTAAGGTGGTCTACAAAAATATTTGTTTTAAAGAGAGGGCAGTGGGTTTGGAATTGTGGGTATGGCCACAATAGTGCACCAGTTGCTAGGAGCTGGATTAATGTTAACTCTGCTAATTCTGATACATAGATCTACAATCCATAGATCCATACATAGATACATAGAACCATAGTAGATCTATAGTCCATGGCAGACTTTGTGTATTAGGTTCAGTATTAATCACATTTTATGTACCACATTATATGTATCTATATATATTTAACAATTTGCTCTCCTAAATGAAAAGATAAAAGAAGTAGAGGTGAGTAAATTCTTAGAGAGTTGTTACCCATGCTCTCCCAGTCCCACTAATTTGGTTTGTGATAGCCAATACAGAAAACCCTGTAAGCGTCTGAGGATTGAAACTCAATCCTTAACCGTTACACATTTTCAGGATTCACCTTAAATTAAGTTTTAAGCTATCATTAGCAATGTAAAGCTATTCTCAGATTTCTTGTATAGTCTCTTGTTTTGATGGCCTTTTCCTTCTTTGATCCTTTGCTAATTTCATTCAGAGTTAGAAAATATGGTAATTTTGAACAACTCCTTGGTAATTCTGCAAATGAAAAGGAAGTTAAAGAAAGGCAGATTTAAAAAAAAATGAATCAATTTGATTCCAAAACTGGTATTAACATATTTTAATGCAGAGAAAAGAGCAAGATGAATCTTAAGGTTATAAGAGGTCCGTCAAATTGACCTACATGAGCTCCCAGAAGTTACACGTTTCCTAAGGCCAAGGAACTGTTTCATGACCTTGAAGGGTATATTAGTATTTCTATTTAAGTCATTACATTTTCAAACATTGGAACTGCTCAGATTTGGTTCACTGCACAAACCAATCACTTAGAATGTTAAAGAGCATGACTTTGGTCTCCTGGAGACAGCTCTTCTGTAATTGAGCTCTCGTTTGCATGGCCTGTCTACCTTCCCTGTTAATTTTTTTTTTTCTTAGTTTTTTTTTTTCCTTGTCAGCCTACATTATGAATGCAACTGATAGAACAAACACCAACACCTAACACTGGAAATTGTCTCCTCGGAACTCGTTTGAAACACATGTGAGGTTCTCAAACGGCAAGGTTTATAAAATGTCAGAGCATTTTAGAGTCGAAAGTGATTGTTGGGTGCATATTACAATCACACAGGGAGCTTAAG